ACTGAAGAGGATGCTAGAGATCTGATCTGATTAAGATATAGGCAACCTAACTTCTTCATAATATTGTGAGTTGTGACCCGTGTTTTGTGATGGTGAATCACAATCATGTAGATGTCATTAACAATAGAGTGGAGCCTCGTGGTAATAACTGTGACAGGCCTTTCATGGTCATTGTACCAACATGTCGATTACAAGGTTTCAATAGGAATGAGTACTGAATGGAAAAGCACAAACATCACTTGTACTTCTTTTATTTCAAAGCCTTTCCTTTACAAAGCCAGGATTACTTACTGTAACAGTGCTTTGTTAATGAAGCTGAAGAGCATACCTTTCAGAGGATACTCCCAAAACACAGGTAGAGCACACACTGATATTAAAAAAAAGGAAAAAAAAGAAAGTACTTTTTGAGGTAGCCACAAGGACAGCATCAGTACTACATCTCTGACCTGACCCACTGAGAATTAGTAAGGCCTTTTCATAAAACACATAACCAACAGCAAGGCACAGGAGGGAGTTTGGAGTCAGAGGTCACCTCATATGTAAATTTGAGGCTTTAACTTTTGTGAGAAGAAATTCTGTTCTTACACAACTCTTTTTTTTTAAACTTCTCTGCACACACAAAGTCACAAGGTAAAATATCAGCACCTAAAACAACATCAGAGATTTCTGAAACACCACAACCAAGAAATGAGCTGTGATAAAAAAGTTTAGGTCTGAGATGGAATTCAGTTATGTTCAGCTCCGTGCTTCACTTTGTGATGTACAGAACAGCATTAAAACAAAATACAAAGCTAAAAACGGCAATTTACTCAAATTTAATGGCACCAACTTGCTTAATTATTACTGAAGCACTACACAGTGTCAGGTATTATGACATAGATACAGTGGTGTGAAAAAGTGTTTGTCCCCTTCCTGATTTCCAAGTGTTTTACATATTTGTTATACTTGTCACCTATTAAACCAAGATAACCTGAGTAAATGCAAAATGCAGTTTTTACATGATGATTTCACTGATTAAGAGAGAGAAATTATCCAAAAGTAGTTGCCCTATATGTTAATCATGAATTTACTGCAATTAACCACATTTTTTGGAAAGCTGAGTTCAGTTTCACTAAATAGACTCCGGCCTGACTACTGGCAGACCTGTTGAATCAAAAAAAATCCTTAACTATAATCTGTCTGACAAAGTGAAGCAGGTTAAAATATCTCAAAAAGCAACACATCATGCCACAATCTAAAGAAACACCTGAGCAATAAAGTCTGGGAAGGAATGCAAAGCCACGTCTAAGGCTCTGGGCCTCCAGTGAACCACAGTGAAAGTCATTATGTCATATGGAGTAGACTTGGAACAGTGGTGACGTTTCCCAGGAGTGACTGGCCCACCAAAATGACTCCAAGTGAACAGCAAGGACTCATCCAGGAGGTCACAATAGAATCCAGAATAAAATTAAAGAATCACAGACTTGTCTAGTTAAGGTCACAGCTCATGATTCAACAATAAGAACCAGACTGGGCAAAAATGGCATCCATGGGAGAGTTCCAGGAGAAAACTACTGCTGACCAAAAACAAGAGAAAGACTCATCTCACATCTGCCAAAAACATCTTGATCATCCCCAAGAGAGCTAGGAAAATGTTCTGTGCAGCATTTCAGAAAAGGAACATCATACCAACAGTAAAATATGGTGGTGGGCTGTTTTGGTGCCTCTGGGTCTGGAAGACTCGCTGTGCTAAATGAAACCAGGAATTCTGCCGTCTGCCAAAACATCCTGAAGGAGAATGTCCGGCCATCTGTTTGTGACCTTAAGCTGAAGCGCACTTGGGTTCTGAAGCAGGACAATGATCCAAAACACACCAGCAAGTCCAACTCTGAATGGCTTTGGAGTGGCCTAGGCAAAGTTAAAAAAGCAGTTTCTGCTCTAAAACCCTCCAGTGTGGTTGAATTACAACAATTCTATAAAGATGAGTGGGACAAAATTCCTCCACAGCACTGTAAAAGTCTCATTGCCAGTTATTGCAAACGCTTGATTGCAGTTGTTTCTAGTAATGGTGGCCCAAACAGTTACTAGGTTTGGGTGGCAATCACTTTTCCCCACACAGGGCCATGTAGGTTCCCCTAAATAATGAACACTTTCATTTAGAAACTGCATCTTGCATTTAGTTGGGTCATCTATGCCTAATATTTAAATTTGTTTGATGATCTGAAACATTTAAGTGTGACAAACATACAAAAAAAAAGGAAGCGAGCAAACACGTTTTCACACCACTGCAGATCTATCGTTGGGGCATGAACACTGTATTTAGCAGTATATAAATGATTACAGGCCAAAATGACTTGAACTGAAGCTGTGTTAGGTGTAGGCAGTCAGATTCTCAGGAGCCAGGGAGTGATCGAGATGACAAAACACAACACAATCCAAATTTTTTTTTAAAAAAGAAAAAAAAGAGCTTTTACTCTGGGAGTGTTACTGCCATCGCCATGCATTCCTGCTCTACGTCATAATCACCGTGAGGAAAAGGGTTGACAATGGAGGTCTAGAAAGCTACACAAGTTAAAGTGACAGAAAATAAAAACAAAACAGAAGCTTTCACATTGCTTGAGAAATGCTGTCCAAATTCCAGATCAAGTAAAACTGAAATACACAAGAAAAGAAAGAAACCAAGTGCTACAGAAAAGACAGGAGGCCCAATTCTGACTGAAAGCCAAGTCCAACTTCATCAAATCAGATTCTCAGATAAAATAAGCAGCTACACCTGATTTAATGACAGGAACGACAGAAAGTTAATCAAGGAAACAGTTAGAGCTGCACAACCACAAAAGAATGATTTCCAAAAGGTTTAAGATAAAATATGCAATGTCAAAGCCAGCAGGCATCCTCAGACACAAATCACAGCAAGTGTCACTATTTCACCATCCAGTGAGTCTGGGAGAGTCATGCCCAAAGTGCGCTTTAACAACAAGGCTACATGATATGAACTACTTCACTCTATATAACTCATCTGTTACAGTTTAATACAGACTTTCTACAGTTAAAATCCAGTTGTGCAGCCTTGATGTATGACATAATTATCCCACTGAATCAATGAATGAGATCTGTGAAGTAACATTGCACATCCCGGGGCCAGATCTCAGTGGGGGTGGGGGGTGGAAAGAAGGGGGTGTTTCTGTCAGAACTGGGTCGACAAACTGGGGAAATGTGAGCTGGAACCAACCCGTTCCCTGATTTAAATAACCTTTGTCAAAGAAGGCAAATTTACAACTTCTTATAAAGAAAAAGGACTCAAGAAAACAATTCAATATAAATGAGAAAAGCACAGATAAGCTTTAGAATACAGAGAGGAGAATATGTGAAGGAAAATAAAATGAGCAGTTTACTGCTGGATGTTTCATATTAATCCATAATGCAGACTTTTATGTGTGCTACGTGAAACCTATTGTGACCAAGTAAGAAAAAAAAAATCAGAGAAAGAACCATTATGATTACAGTTTCCCCCAAATGTGTCTTCTATAATAATTTTAATAACCCTACCCCTATAAGGTGCATTATTAGGAGTCACATTTGGGGTTACAGGTTATAATATCTGCCACATTAGAGACCACTTGCTGCGTCCGCATGTGAACAACACAAGCAGCATTTTGCTCCTGTGTTTATCTGGTTTTTCCTCACATTTTGCTCCAATGTCAGAATGCTTCCAGTTCTTTTAAAGCTTACGTTACAATGAGACTGTAACAGAATCAGGCCTAGCAAAGCAAGAAGCAAGAAGCAAGACAAACTTTGAAAGCAGATTATACTGTGAAGTGTCATTATTACCAATTAAAGATACAGTTTAAAAAAAGGGGGGGGGAGGTTTGGCTACTTGTGATTAAGTGCAATTTCTCTTGTGTGGTAAGAGCTGGAGAGGCTAGTTGGTATATGGAGGTCACTTAGTGGAAGTGTTGTTGGCAGTGAATCTTCCCCTCAGCTTGGTCCATAAGCTCCAGCATCTCCTGGATGACGGCCTGCAGTGCACGACCCAGGTCTTCTTTACTGTAAGGCTTTCCAAGAGGAGGCACATGAATAAAGGCAGAGCGGCCGTGGCTCAGGTACAGAGAGGTGTAGTAGGTAAAATCACAGAGATACCTGTCAAAGAAGGGAGCACGGTATTTAATAAATGAAGAGACTGACTCCATAACACAAACAAACAATAAAACAGCATTTCCATGACGCAAACTCGCCTCTCAGCTGAGCCACTCAACCGTGCACATACCTTCAAAGGGCCCTGATCACTACCTGTCACACTGAAGCATTGTTATGTCACTGCTAGACCTTGACAGCAGTAAACATATTTTGCCTTTTCCCAAAGGCCAAACTGCATAACGTGACTACTGTTTATATCATTACTATAGCCTGACAGCTGTCAGTATATCAGAAACACTGCTGTTTGTGGCCTAGCAGAACAATTTCAGGCTGCCTCTGAAATGTAAAGCTTAAAGCTTCAGTCAAAACTTCTAGATTCAACTAAGACAGACTTTACTTCAAGTAAAGCATCAGTTTAGCAGCTTAAGTGCATTTATCACTGCAACTAGCAACTAGCTAATTTGTCAGCCTAGTGTAGAAACTTTCAAAAAGCCTAAATTCAAACCATGAGAAAATATAAAAATAAACTCCAGAAAGCTCAGATTCAAGTCAAAGTTCTCTGTCTGTTCATCACTGGGAACTTTGTTTTCGATCTCTCATTATAGTAAAAATAGTGATTACAGTTTCTTTCAAACATTTGCCTCAAAAAACAAAAAAAAATATTAGTCAGGCTCCAAAAATTGAACTTCAGCAGAAAACGCTGATATTTACAATCATAGCAACATATCTGTGCCGAGTTCTGAGCTAGCCATCTCTATTTAAAAGTACCGCCATGTGAGCAGTACATGCAAAAGTTGGACGGATAAAGATACACAACTTGGTAAAAGAGAAAAAACACATTAAATAATGACCTCCCGGCATCTCTGGAGACAGACACGGCTACTCCCAGCCCTGATGCATTCACTCTTTTGCAGACCGATTCCATGTCAATGATCGAGTTGATGCAGTCTGGGCCTCCAACAACGCAGCACTGTGAATCGGGGCAGAAGCTGCTGTTGTCCAGGCCCTTGTAACCATGATTTCTTCCACACTTCTCCAGCGTGACAGTTGTGGCCATACCCGAAACTCCAACATGAACTACCAACTGTCCAACAAAGAAAACAATAAAAACACAAAGTCAGAATGACTAGACTATTGTAGGCTTCCCTTACACCTGAGGCATCCATGCTCTTGAAACAGGGCCTAGGATTATTTTACTGAAACAAAAAAAAGCAAGGAAACTCAAGATAAAAGCTCAAGCAGAATTTTACAATGTAGCCCCTTCATAGCGAGCTTTTAACAAAGGCACTTTCAAGCCCATAATTCATCGTATTGTTCATCGGGGCTTCTAACTCTTAAAGCAGCGGTCCCCGACCCCCGGGCCATGGACCAGTTGTTTGGTACCGGGCCGCAAGAGTTGAGGCTCCGGTGTGAAATTCATGATTTCAGTTTTTAGCGCTATTTTTTTTTTTTTTAATAGTTTTTATGGTTAAGTCTGTGTCCCTGGGTCTTTTCCCGTGTGTTACGAATACATCTTCTTTTTGGTACTGGTACTGGTTTTATTTTGTTGTATTTATCTGCAACACCTTAAAGGCCGGTCCGTGAAAATACTGTTGGACATAAACCGGTCCGTGGCGCAAAAAAGGTTGGGGGACGGCAGTCTTAAAGCGCAATAATGCTGTCAGGTTAAATTAGGCTCTCCTCTTACCAGTGGATGATACTGCTTCCATAATGAAGGAACCAAACTCTGGACTTGTTGGTACTCAACAGGAACCTCGTGTACATGCAAATCCACATCACTGCCCAGCCCGAGCTTCTTCAGTTCCTGTCAGAGTAAATTAAAACCTGAAGTTTAGAAATCATTCCACATGTTGAAACATCAGTTTCAGCTTCTTCAGTTAAATTTAGATAATTTACAAAACTTGCAGTAGATAAGTCATGAAATGCATTCGTCATGCGGAGCTACGTTCTGTGGCGACCCCTTGTGAATAAAAGAGCAGCTGAAAGTAGCTTTACAGGATACTGTAGGCTGCTTCCTTTGCCTATGCTCTTATCATTTTTACTTCATGCTCACTGACAGCTAATTTCCCTGCAAAATATGTCTCCACGTATTTTGAATTTTTGGTCACTTGGGAAAACCTCTTAATGCTTTGCCATTCCCAAATGGTATAATTTTACAGTCAACTTGGCAAACAGAATGAACAAATACTTCAACCCCAAACTCAGGCTTCTTCAAAAGCAAAATCAAGAAATAAAATATGCCAAACACTGACTTCACATATAAAAACAAACAAATCTGTATCAAATTCAAAGCCAGTAACCCAACAGCTCCCCCAGTCTCCCTGCAGGACAAATAGCCCTGGACACTGACCTCCCAGCTGTATTGAAAGGAGGCTTATT